CCCCAAAACCCCAAAACCCCAAAACCCCAAAACCCCAAGTCGGGGAAGAAGAGTGGAGAAAAGGGTGTTTATATATTAAATAAACTAGGATAATTATGTCAGTGACAGAGGAGAATATCTGTGCAAGATTGGACCAAGAACCAAGCCAGGTCTCGCCCTTCCTTCAGGGAGTGAGGTTTGCAGACCCTAGCTGCACCCCTTCACAGCAGATAGACCTCCTAGATGTCAAGGGTAAGAGCAAATGCAACTTTGGATAGACTCTTTTTAGAATTAAGAGTTACAGTTAGATATGATCTCGAGCTTAATGCAGGTTTCTTATGGCTTAAGGAAAATCAATAAAATTTTAAGAAAACAGCTATTCCGATGCCATTATGCCATATTTTGATAAAATTTTCAAATTTGAACATCTACGTCATGAAATCTCCTGGTGAGATTCCTTGATAGAGTGTTGTAGGAACATGACTCATTAAGAAAATTAGAACAAAATAGACCACAAATAGGAGCTTTATTATAAATTTTTTACTGGAATGTCTCCCGCTTAGCTATTTAAAAATTTGTGTGTGAAATTTAACATCACTTGGGATCAAATTCTATGCTTTATAAATATATCTTAAGAAGATTTTACCCAAATTATAGCTCATATTTCTTTAGATGATTACTTCAAGCCTAGCCATGTAAACCATAAGGTAGATATCTCCGGAGAGAACTTCTTGCAGTACTGGGGGAAGCAAGTTGAAAATTATTCTCAGAAAGATCAAGAATTGCCGCTTGAGGGTCCTGTTGGCCATATCCTCAAAGAATTTGAACATGAGCACCGGATTGATGACTCCTTTAACTCCCATAACAGTTTTGAAGGGAAGGATGCCTTCTACAGTCCCAACACTGGAAGTCTTGAGGAATTCTTTGACGAAGCTCCGAAGAATTTCGAAGATATTATTGATGAATGTAGTGATGGTAACTGCCATTTCAATCAATGCATCGAGGAAGATAATACAGAGAAGGCAGATCCAACCCTTGCTCAGAAGGATAAGGGCTCTGCTGAAGAAAGCCACTGCAATATCTCTTCTCAAGCAAGAAAGAAAAGAGATGTGAAGATGTCTCGCAAAGCTAGAGAAGCAAATATCAACTTAACCAAAGATTCAGGAAGAAAATCCATCTTGAAGAAGCATCAAAGAATTTCTTTAAAAACTACGAACAGAGAAGACCCAAGCCTGATTATAAAGATCAGGTCTGGCAACAAAGTTCTGACGAATGAGAAGGTTTGAATCCGAGGAGTTGCTAAAGATCAAGACCAAAGTTCAACAAAGATCGAAGAAAATAAAATGATGGCATACAGATCTTCCTGTTCCACTTCAACCATCAGCAATGAGAGAAGTGAAGGCAACAGTAATAGCCATAAAGATGCCTCTGTGAGCTTCATTGAGTTGGAGGATAATTCTAGAATATTCTGCAGAAGCATTGGTCCTTTGAAGGCAAATGAGAGAAAACAGAAAGTTCTCCATTATCTTGAGAAGAAGAGATCTCGCAAGTGGCATAAGAGGATTAACTACAACACTAGAAAGCAAGTAGCAGACGTCCGTCCAAGATATAAGGGTAGATTTGTCACCAACGAGCAATATGAAGAATTCAAGCAGATTGAGAGAAAGAAGACTGAAGAGAAGTTGAGACAGAAGATTTTCAAAATTGAGAGGGTTAGAAGATAACTTATCACTCCAGGAAGTTCCTAGTCTTCCTATATATGTCTGATAAATATTAATAAAATTAATAAACAAGCTCTTGCTCCTAAATTTCTGAAGAATAGGATACTCCACTTATAGGTTTAGGTAAGAAGGAATACTCAAAGATCTATTTAGCCATTTTTCAAATAAAATGATATTATTCAAATCCATGGGAGACTATTGGGGTTTTGGGGTTTTGGGGTTTTGGGGTTTTGGGGTTTTGGGG